TTTGTCGGTCTGAGTGCATTGTCTGGCTCCTCCCCTCCTGCGGTAGGAGCCTCTCTCTCCTAAAAAAGACCTTGAGCCATAAGCTCTGCCATCTCTTGAAGATGAAGAGGATCTTTGCCGGCTTTGGCTGTTGTAGGGGTGATAACCTTTACGACTGCCTCTCTTGGATGACATTTTCTTTGAAAGCCTGTTTGCCTTATTTACCTCGTCAATTTCTTTTCCAATGTCATCCCCAAACAGTTGATCTGTAATCGGCGTAGTAGGGTTGCAAAGCGAAGCAAACTGCGAATTCAATTCAGGCCTTAAGGACTCCCACCGGCGAAGGTTCAGTTCTCGATTACCTGCCAAGGCAAGAACTAAAGAGTGTGCAAGAACAGACTTCATCTCTCCTGTTGCCTTCTCGCAGGCAGACATCATGGCATACATGGCAGTAATAAAATACTGTTGAGACTTTTGAAAAGCCCTATCTGTGGCTTTGGTATTCTGGCTTAACTGATTCCAAACAGCTCTATTGACCAGCAATTTGCAATTTTCTGGTCGAAGATATTTTGACATCAAATCGTCGAGTTTTGACTTGGGTAGCTTTTCTTTAACCAGTTCCTCCACCATGGTGGCTAATTTAGAATCAACGGCTGGCCCAGTCTTATCTGATGTAGAGAATTCATCTGCAAGATAAAGTAAAAATATCCCAAATTAAACTTCTTACCTAATGAATGAAGTGAAAAATATTATCGATAAAGTCTCCAGAACTTCGAAGGATTCGAAGAGATCCGAACTCCATGGCTAAGCTTTGTGTACTGAGCATCCACGGCAGCACGTGTGCATCTCATGTTAACCGGAAGTGACGTCACCGTGATTTGGTAGAATACTATATTGCCAATACAGTATGACTAGAAATAAGCATGTAGTGACAAAAGCATTCTCAATTCTATAAAAAAAATCAATTTATCATATTAATTTCGGTTTCAGGGTGTGATCTGTCAAAGGAATTAGAAGACTTAAAGTTGTTTATGTATAAAGAATTTACAAAATTGGGAAGGCCACCAGTGTACGACCCAGAGGAATTCGAGTTGTTGTGCCACAGAGACGGGGCAAAATCTATTTTCAAAACAATCACAGATGCCATGACAACTGAAAGACAGTCAAAAGAAAGGGAAATCGCTAATCGGAAGATGGCAGCGTATATTATCTACAAGCTTTGTTATGGTCTCAGTCAAGTTTGCAACTGGCTGAAGACAGACCACGCCTTTTTTTAAAGCAATCAAATATCAATAAGGAAGGGATGGAGACAGCAAATGTTCTGGGGGACACAGTGTGCATATCTAAGGCTGATAAATTGGTAACGCAATTGAGCGAGGAGCCTGCACAGTCAATTGATCAAGTTGTCAATGAAGCAATCAAACACGGGTGGCAGCTTGTGCTGGTTGTTGATGACTATACAGCCAAACATACAATACGACGACCACTAACAACTACACTCACCCACTACACTCAACTCATACATCACAGTCAACCCAGCCATCACAGTCAACCCAGCCATCACAGTCAACCCAGCCATCACAGTCAACCCAGCCATCAGTCAGCCCAACTATCACAGTCAGCCCAATATCACAGTCAGCCCAATATCACAGTCAGCCCAATATCACAGTCAGCCCAACTATCACAGCCAACTCCTTATCACAGTCAGCCCAACCATCATATATGTTTCCGACACAACAGCAACTAATCCTACATCCATATGTACACTACAGTCATGTAATTTAATGATTTCTGCCACAACAACTATGTTAGTCCCTGATGTTTGGAATACCAATAGGCAGTAATGCTTGTACTATCATCGCTCTCATTGGGGCTATGAAGTTTCTGTCTGGCACAGTTCCTGTCCCTTCTCTTCACAATATTTTATCAACTGTGGCAGAATTTGCTAACTCAATGAGAGAAGGAAGCATTCTTTACAACAATCTGAATCTACCAGTAAACCAGCCAAATTTAAATGTCCGGGAGGCCCTAGCATTCTCATTCTCATGGTAACCAAGAAGGATTGCTGGCCGTAGCAAGCTATGAACAAATAGACTTATATGCCGGTTTTTACTGTAGCTGTGAATAACTATATATGTCTTTGTCTTATGTCTTTATAATGCTAATTCAGTATGACAGGATGATAATAGCATTAGTGAGGCTCAGCATGATAGAAATACTTATGTGGTACTCTTCCTAGATTTTTCACAATAATATATTAATACATATTCATTAGCTAAGAAATTCTAGGCTTAATTTAGCAGGCAATATTCCCAAAAATATGCCGCCGATTATTTTGAAGTCTAAAATAAGGTTTCACACATAATATCATAAAATGTTTGAGCTGAATYTCTCTGAAAGAGAACCACCGATATACATTCTTATATGTTATGAACAAACTAGAGAACTGTAGGAACCTGGAACTAGTGATGGATCACGTGACGACGCCTCGTGCTCGTTCTTCGTTGTTGTATGTTGAGAGCTGGATAAAATCCGTGAAAACCTCCAATTATTGACCATTTATCATATTGGCGACGAGGAAAAAGCGAAGATCATCGACCAAACGCCAAGAGAAGTCAACTCCTGAGCTTGTGAGTGCAAAAGCCATGACAACGTTTGGAAAAATCGAGGAATATGACGAGACCGAAGATTGGAGTAATTATGTCGAACGACTACACCATTATTTTGAAGCCAACGAAATCGCACATGCAGACAAACAGAAAGCAATTTTTCTGGCAACCATTGGAACAAAAACGTATAAGTTCATCCGTAATTTAGTCGCCCCGAATCATCCGAAAGACAAGAGTTTCGACGACCTGACGAAGTTAGTACAGGAGTACTACAAGCCCAAACCTTCTGTTATTGTTCAGCGATTTAAGCTTAACAAGAGACACCAGGAGAGCGGTGAGTCTATCTCAGCATTCTTAGCTGAACTAAGAAACCTTTCGCAGTATTGTGAATTTGGCCAGACATTAGACGAAACGTTGCGTGATCGTTTAGTATGTGGTACTTCCAATGAAAAAATTCAGAAACGCCTTCTCGTTGAGCCCAAATTAACCCTTAAGCGAGCCCTAGAACTGGCATTGGCCATAGAAACGGCAGAAAAGGATGCAGTAGATTTAAGTAAAGCATCTAAAAGCGAAGAAAATGCGAATCAAGCATTTCATGTTTCATGATGGCGCCAAACCGAGAAACCACAGGAAGTCCGCGCCCAATAGTGAAAAGCAATGCTACCATTGCAATGGGCCTCACGAATCTTTCCACCTAAAATGTTTTCGACTGATGGGAGCGAAAGGGATCCAGTGGCAGTCTACAAAACCTTTGCTATGAAAAGACCTGAAAAGATGAGAAGTCCAGATGCTCCATTTTACATCGCTGTCAACAATATAAAATCAAAGTCCCTTGATAAATTCTGGTTCAAGAACAATGCAGTC